TGTTTCTTGACCGTATATTGATCACTGTTTGAGAGGCTCTTTTGAGCGCCCTCTTTTGAGCTAAAGAACGTACTCTTCTAATTTGCATTGAAAGACAAAATCCTACTTCATCAATAAAGAATATCTTATTTTCATTCATAGAAGACAAAATGTTCATGAATAAGTAGCTCTTTTATTAGTAACGTCTTCAGAGTTTCTTCTCTCTGGAATAATACGTTTTAAAGTATAATTAAAATTATCAATATATCTTACATAGTAGAATGACTAACTGAAATGAATTTTTGTTCAAAAAAAAATTGTTCAATGTTCTTATGAGTTGTTTCACAATCATCACCAACCCAATTTTTGATCAGTACCTCGGATTCTTCAGTTAATATTTTTTTTCGAAAATGACCTTTTAATTGCCTTACTATCGGCAAACCATTTATATATTTTTTGATAATTGAATAGATTATTGTTCGTTTAAATCCAACAAATATTTGCCATTTCTGATATTGAATTTCCATTTAAAAAAAATTTAAATATTTTTGAACGGTTTTCATTGTTGATTGTTTGATTCAGAATTGCTGTTCATAAATATTAAAAATAATGTTTAAACTTTCATTATGAACTTTGATTATATTAAAGAGACAAATATTTTGAAAAGTAATTTGGTTTTCTAGATAAAAAATTATGACATTAATTTATAGTTTGATGACCATTTCTTGTTGGGATATTTTCCAAAACAAGAATATTTTTTTTGGTAGTTTAAAAATAACTAACCTGGTCAATAAAAATGAGTATGGCAATTAAAAACGATTATTTTGTTAATTTGAAATAATTAATATCTACATAATTTATTTTATATATCTGTCTAAAAAAATATTCAAAAAATTATTTTTGAAATCACATTCATGATTTCCGTATTCACTTTTAATCTTTTAGATTTAAGATAAAAAAGACACATTAATTATTTTATTTATATCAAGTTCATATAATTACGTAATCATTTTCATTCGTCAGTATAATAGTCCAATTTTGTATAATAATCAATTTAATAAAGAATATTTCTAGAAAAAAATTCTGAAGGGCGGAAGGTACAGTTAAAAGTACAGTTAATATAATTTAATTAAAAAAAAAATTGCGCATGGAAGTGCACTTTATTATTTATTTCAGTTTATCTATAATTTGTTTTATGAAATTTTTTTTTTCATGAGGTATGGAGACTTTATAAAGATTTATCAAAAAACCAAAAGCTTAAAAGTTTTTCTTTGCACAAGGGTAATACTTATCAACCACTACATATGGTGGGTTATGCTTATATGAAGAAAACATAAAAATTATCTTAAAATTAACTTAGACCCTCATTTGATCACACTTTCCAACCATTATTCTTAAAGAGTCTGTTTTAGTCCCAGAAGACAGTTTTTTCTCCATTAAACTCACAGTTTGTACAGAAACATACATTTTTTGATGTTGCTTTAACTGCTGATTTTAAGCAAAATCATTTTTTGATTATTTTGTCACTATTCCCTCATATACTTGTCATTGATAATAACGAAAAATTCAGTACATTTTCAGCAAAACTTGTTTTTGTTAATCTAGAAACGAAAGTAGGTCAGATAGGATATTATTCAAACACAATGAATTAAAAACAATGAAAAGTCCGAACCGAATTACTGTCTTTTTTATTAGTTATTTAGGTGCTCCAAGAAGTCTTAGCGGTCTTCTCACAGAGCACTGAGGAATAGCATTTAACCAGGAAATTCCTTATTTAATTAATACCACCCTTCCTTTCCAATGATGCATAAGTAACCAGAGCCTCGAACCTATAGTTCAAAAGCCATCCTTACCACTTTACGGGTGCACAACCATTACTATAACCTTTTCATTTGTTTATGCCCTGTCAATTAAATTATGCTTATGACTAGTTAATTAACAAACTATTTAAAAAATCAAAACTGAAGAAACGGGCTTACATAATTGATCAAAAAACTAGTATATACATTTTACTTGATCATAGTTAAAACAATTGAAATGAAACTTTTTTTTCTGAATTTGGAATTTTTAAAAGCCCATATTATTTTAGCATTACGAGTACCATAAACGGGGGTGAATATGAACGCTTTTTGAACATTTTTGCATCATGAAAGAAAACTGTTGGCCTAATCGCAACCATTTTTTCTGTAACAGAACATTATAATACTCAGCTTCCTGTATTAGTCGTAAGCCTGATCAACACTATGCAGTAAATACCTTAGTTTTCTGGTTTTATACGAGCATATACGTATTTCCGAAACGGAGTGAAAATGAACGGCCAATTTGGGGTGATTTTGAACACTACATATTATTTCTATATTCTAGTATATCGCTATATTACCTTATTACAATGGGGTAAAAAACTGTTAAAGATCAAAACAGATAACATAAAGTTTATTTTACATAGAACATACTTTTATTTAAACTAAGTTCATGTGAAAAATTAACATACTATGTTTAAAAACTAGTTTTTTCAATATATTAACATGTATCACAATATTTACAAATCTGTTCCACATAAAAACAGAACATTAAATATCACTATCCTCAAATTCTTCAAATGACTCACACATGCTGCATACAAAGTATAAGATATTTTCAATATTGAGCTCATAATAACCATCTTTATCATAAATGAGGCCACAACACTGGAGGTGATATGGTTTACTGCATTTGTCGCATTGAACCCACACGTCGTCGCTTAACTCTACCCATTTTTTGTTACAGAAAGTACATTACCAATCATTATCTGTGTTGCTTTTTAGCTCTGTTGAACTTGATGGAACTGACTTAATTAAAGAATGAATTCTTTTACCTGGTACCACGAGGTTTGCGTTTTGTAGTTGGATTTGTGCCTAACCCTAGATTGTTTTTTAGAATATCTAAAACAGATTCGTTAAGAACCATAACGGTGTCATTACCACCAGGGTCTTTATATTTTCCTGGAAGACGTTTTATAACCTCTGTTCTGTCCATAGGGTAGATTCCCGTTGCTTTAAATCCACTAACCAAAGCTACTGGTCGCAAAGTATTACTTAGTTTATTTAAAAGCGTAGGTAAATGTTCTTTTGGGATAGCTCCTTTGATACGACTTTCTGATCTCCATGAAGATCAGAAAGTCGTATCAAAGTCCGAAGGGATCAAGTTCCGAAAAAAAACGGCGGACAAACCAGACTTGATAGTATAACAGAAAATTATAAGTGGAGCTCCACTTCAAAAGTGGGCCATTGTTGTGGAATATAGTGGAGCTCCACTTCAAAAGAATACTCCTCCACGACTGCTTTAATCCTCTAAAAACAGCAACATCTAATGGTTGGCAGAGATGAGTCGCATTTGGAGGCATTTTTATAAACTTGATGTTATGTTGAATCGTGGCTTTAATAACTTCAGGAGAAAAATGTGAACTAAGATTATCTCCAATCAATAGTGTTGTTCCGGCTTTTGAAATAGCAACAGGCAAATATATTTCCATAAACCATCTGGTAAACGTCCTACCATCAAACCATCCGTTAGGGGTGATGTCGTAAACAGTTCCAGGTGGTCCACCTTGAGTCCAACCCTGGTAAAGGTTCTTTGCTTTGTAAACTACCATGGGCGGCAAAAACTCTCCAACAACATTGCCAGAAAATATTAAACTGGTCGACTGCTTCGAATGTTCTTGTTTTTTCGACACGGTGCCCAAGGCCACGACGAACAATAACGGATTTGGACCTTGGATTGTCTGTTATATTGGTCTCATCATAGTTATAGATATTTTCTGGAGGTATATCCTTCAACTCTTTATACAAATTATCAAAATATTTGTTAAGGGTATCTTCATTGACCATGGCTTTACTGTGCTTAACATTATCAGCAACCCTGTTTGTTAAGTTATGTCTCTTCATGAAAGACTGAACCCAATCTACCTCAGGCATATTGTTTTTGAATCGAGCGTCAGTTAAACTCCTTTCATCACAATATGATTTGACTAAAAGTCTTATATCCAAAGAATCAAATGGTACCCTCCAATCAGTCATATGTACAATTGTTTGGACAAATAAAGTTTCTGTTATACTATCAAGTCTGGTTTGTCCGCCGTTTTTTTTCGGAACTTGATCCCTAAGCTTAACTTTTTTGTGTAATGTTCCTAATGGAATATTGTACTTTTTTGAAGCTTTCCTGACGCTAAATCCTTGGTTTTTGATTTTAATTAAAGCTATTTCTAAGTTTTTTTTGTATAACTTGTTTTATAAGCTCTACTGTTTTCCTTTCTCTTGTAATTTCGAGGCATAGTTCTAAAAATTAACAAAATATAATAAAAAATCGTGTTAAAAAAATGTCATTTTCAAATGAGCTTATAATCGGATGCAGACAAGTTATACATTAAATTATTGTTTTATTAGAACATTATTTACCTGAACCTAAATTGAGGTAACTTTGATGACGTTTAGATGAGCGGTTCTTAAGATACTCCTTGATAGGTGGGTTAATAACACGAACCACTGTTTATATGCGATAGGGAAAAGAAAATTTTGAGGGCAGCCGAAAATTATCTTCCACACATTATATTTAAGGCAAGTGAGTCAAAAAATTTCAATTTTTTAGCTATATTTTATGTGCTGCTTCACCATTAAGTTAAGTTAGTACTAGTGTTCATTTTCACCCCGCTGTTTATATTCACCCCCGTTTACGGTATTTTTTACTGTATACAACGCAAAAAATTACGATTTTGCTAGAGTTATTTATCACCTCAGTTATTATAAACTTATAATCTCATTTATTATTGAGAACAATTCTTCACATAGTTTGAAATGTAAGGGTGAGCGAAGTACTTTTAAAAATGTAGGGTGGATTTGAACTTCTCGAACAGAGTGTTCTATTAGTATCAAAAACATTAGCAAGTAAATACATTTAATGTTTGTTTAGTCAAAGTAAGTTACTTATTGATATTATTGTAAAAAACTATTAGTAATAAACTTATTGCATAAACTGTCTCGTAAAAATGAGGTTTTGTATAAATATAATTCTAAGATAAACAGTTAACATATTTCTAACTAAAAACTAATAGTATCTAACATGGCGCCAAGACTTTGCAATATATTAGAAGACATTACATGCCCGACATTTTCCTCTAAATGACGCTTTGGATCCTATAAAAAAAAATAAAGACAACAAAATCAATCTTTCCTTTAAATCAACAATCGGTGTTCATGGTAACCAAAGCAGTATCTTTATAAAAATATTTATTACCTGTTTTCCTACATTTTTAATAGCCAATTGCTCAGGCGTCATGGTATCTTCATCTTCTAATGACTAAAGCAAAACAATTTTCGTGTTTTAAATAAAAGTGTAGAAATAGGTTTAGTCATATATATATATATATATATATATATATATATATATATATATATATATATATATATATATATATATATATATATATATATATATATATATATATATATATATATATATATATATATATATATATATATATATATATATATATATATATATATATATATATATATATATATATATATATATATATATATATATATATATATATATATATATATATGTTTGCTACTTAAATATATTTATACCAAGGTGTAAGTATATTTGCTACTTAAATATACTTACACCAAGAACTGTTTCTGTTGCTTAATTATAAAAATATTGAATTTATTAGTTAACTCGGTTCATTTATTTTCCTTATTAATATCTACCTAATATCTTAATAATATCTACCTATTTTTCAATGATTAAAATTTACTATTCTTATTAAACATCATACTACGATTTTGTCACAGTGATTAACTTCCGTTGTTTAAATACAAACTTCCTAAAGTGTATAAAAAAGTGTTGAAAACTAATTACTTTGTTATAACTTTTAGTTAAATCAAGCATTAATTTAACAGTTTCTTCATTTGATTGACAATGATGATGATAGTCCTTGAGCTTTAACCCTTCCATCCATGTTTTTTTATGAAGATTAAGGAGCATCTAAATAAAATCAACAAATTAACGAGAAAAATACTTATTACACTACGTGTCTTACCACAAAAACTTGTAATAAAAAAGATCATATTAAAATACATTAAAAAAAATTTTTTAGAAAATTAAAACTACCTTTTGTTCAAGATCATTTTTCCTGTAATTAATCGAAATACTGTAATAATGTCTGTTTAAACCATGAATCAAGGCCTGAAAATATATACTATTATTAACATATGAACCATGTAGAGCATATTTATTATTACAACTTTAACAAAATAACCTGTATCGATGGCTTTTGTAAATGGCCTAAATTTGATGTTGTTTGTCTGGGTTCAGGACCAAGCACCATTACATTTGGGTTAATGAGACGAAATGCGTCAATGACAACCTAACATTAAAAGCAACATATTTAAATTAAATTGAATAATTATAAATATAAATATAAATATATATATATATATACATATATATATATATATATATATATATATATATATATATATATATATATATATATATATATATATATATATATATATATATATATATATATATATATTTATGTATATATATATATATATATATATATATATATATATATATATATATATATATATATATATATATATATATATATATATATATAGGATAGTATAAATCTATTCAACAAATTGTTTTATTATTCTTTCTGAAGTAAACTTCCTTATAAACTAATTCAAGTTATCTATAGTGAAAAAGTTATACAGAAATCAATATGATTTTAGAATAAAAAAAATTTAACAGCTATTCAAACAAATAAGATAAAACGAGGATAAAAAGCTGCGATGAAATGAATGGATAAAAAGTTAGACTTAAAAAATAAGTAACGCAAATTTTTGAAAAAACTAGCCACTTTGTACTTTACCATCTTGACAAAAGTAATCACAACGCTTGGCACATAAACTTTATTAACAGTAGACTCACACAACAGCTTCTCAAGACAAATTTTAGGGCTCATAACCACATATTCAACAGAGTAAAGCTTGATGAATTAGCTACCAGATATAAATGAAAACATCTAAAAATACAATCCCGGATATAATCGCAAAAACGTAGGTCAACAAGTTCTCTCAAACGGAACTAGCAGTCTATAATCTGCATTGGCAAGAACAAAGCTCTAAGAGGAGCTGATATTTTTTAAATCAGTATTATGCGAGGTAAAAATTAGTGAACTAAACTCTAAAAAATTGAAAAAGATTGGCTTTGTATTTCTTTTGGTAAAGAGAATACTTTTCTCCAATCAATGTACTGACGCCAATGATCTTAATGATATGATGTTTATGAGACAAAATTAAAGGTGGCATTAAATAAGATTGAGTATGTAACAATGCCAGTTTAGAGTGAAATAAATTTTGCACAAACAAAACAGGAAGAAGTAGACAGGAAGTGGAATAGCCACAGTAGGTAAAGGTTATATTTCCAAAAATGGCCAAGCAACATGATTTTTTGAGCCAGGAGTTTTAAGAAGAATTTTACAAAGGTTGTACTTTAAACTCTGTAATTCTTTGGTAAATTTAAAATAGCTTTGATCAACTTAATAAAAATAAAACTAAAAAATAAAAATAAAACAAAAAAATAGCTCTGACCAATTTAATAAAAATAAATCTAAAAAAATCGCAATTTAAAAATTATTTTACATCATTTGATTTAAATTTTCAAGTCAAACACTCCTATGTACGTGGATATTTTTACCTTTTTTGCTTTATTGCTTATTTTGCTTTACTCCATATAAAACACATCCTCATATTTAATAGAGGCTCATCTTCTACATTTGTAGTTGTGAAAGTGTCTGACTAGACAGAGTGCTTGCTTTTGTACTGTAACCTCTAATGGTGCCTCATCTTTGGTGTTGACAAAATGAATCTGTCACTAAAGGTTTAGTGTACTTTTAGCACCCTTTGCATTAAGTGTTTATTAGTTGGAAAATTATTTATTTCATGCTCAGCAAAACCATAGTCCATAAATAGTTTGTGATCTTTAAAAGAGAATACTTTTAGTTAGCAAAGAAAAAGGTTATTAGTTCTTTGAAAATGTAGCTTTAAAATTCACACACAAGAGAGGCTCTTCCATTGCCATCTTATGAGAGAACTTGTTTGTGACTCAAAAGAATATAACAGTACTATAGAAAGTCAGATATTTCTTACAGATGAAAGTAAAAAAAGCCTTGATTATATGGATAATGATTTTTCTCTAACCAAAAAAAGTTTTTGGCAAAAGCTTGATGTTATAAATGAAAATAAATTGAAGCTAATATATCTACTAAAAATAAATTTGTTAAATGGTTGAAAGAAACATTGATTTAATGTATCTCATGAAACACTAGTCAAATCCAAATGCCTTGAATAAAGATAATATTTTTTTCATTTGAATTTTCCTCCCCAAGGCCATAAAGACCACTACTACAGTTGAGAAGGCTACTTTAGTTATGGTTACTACCCTCTTTTTGGCAACAAGTTTAAAAAAGTAGTTAAAAAACCTTGACTTTTATCTCATTCAGCATTTTTTTCAAAGACTGATGGCATCTCTCATGATGACAAACAAGTTAATACTGATGGAATTAATAACAATTTTGAAAAAAAAAAACTGAAATGAATTCATATTCTAACTTTTTATTAAACAATCAAATAATGAAATAAACATAAGTTTTATAATTAAAACTTTTTCCAAAAGTTCTTTTAAATTAAATAAAAACAATTTTTTGCATGTTTTTTGCTATGGTAACAGTCTTGCATTCTTTGCGATGCTAACAAAGACAATTTCTTTACTGAAATTAATTTTTACACATTTTTTTTTTATATGATAAATATCTGTTGACCTGAAACTAGAAATATATTTGACTTCTATTTGACTGCTTGTATTAATTTTATTATGAGTGTTCATAAAACTGTTTTAAATTTTGTTTTGAAGTTGCAATGAAAGTAAAATTACTTTTGAAAAACTTTTGAAAAAACTTTAATTCTTTTAATTTAATTAGGCTTAACCATTATTGAAAATAAAAACTATTTTTAAAGTTTCTTGTTCCATTCAAGTTCTACAACCCTGTGGTCTAAATGTTTAATAAATTACTTGCACCAACATACTAATGCTAAAGAAATTATTTCCTTCCTAACAACTTTATTTGATTACTTTCTTAAACTCGCTGACTTTTCATCTGATTACTTATTTAATACTTTATTCTTAATTACTTTCTTCTGAATTTCCGAAAAAATAAAAATAAAGATAACTCATTCATTTTTTTTTCCAAAAAAGATAACTTATTCATAGAGTTTTTAAATGAGCAAAATTTCAAAAGTAATAAAATTATTTATGGCTAAAATATTTAAAAAGTTTTCTGAGTTGAAATGGATTTACTTATTACACTTTTTTTCCCCTTGAAAACCATTTCAGATTTCTTGAGAAAATTATTGTAAATGAAAAGCCATCTTCATATTTACACTGGAAAAGATTAAACTAGCCTTGCTAATAAGAATGAAACACTTCTACAAATTAAACACATTAATTAAATTTTATAAACAAAACATTAGAATTTGCCTTTTAAAAACTTTTAAAAAAATGAAACACATTTTTCTATTCTTTTTTAAGAAAAATTGCTTTTTTAATTATTTAAAAAAAAAATGTTGAAAATAGTTTCACACACACACACACACACACACACACACACACACACAAATATATATATATATATATATATATATATATATATATATATATATATATATATATATATATATATATATATATATATATATATATATATATATATATATATATATATATATATATATATATATATATACATATATATATAATTATTAGCCAAAACCATGTAGTCAAATCAAAATGTTTTATACCAAAAGAAAAGACCAAGAAAAAAAATTCTAACACTAAGACAAAAATAAATTGCTGATGGGATAACCCTTTTATAAATATATTTTTGGCTCTGACTCTTTAATTGAAAAACTACAAACTTTTCCAAATTTTTATAACTTTTTAAGTGTTGTTACAACACTCTCTTAACCTTTTAAATCTAAAACATGAAGATAAGCAGGGCCACTGCGCTAAGAAACAGGGCTGCTGCACAAAAAACAGGGCCACTGCACTAAGAAGCAAGTTAGGAATGGTACTATAAGAAACATGGTAAGAATTGAACTCAGAACTTCTTGTTTAAAAGCGAAGGCTCTATTACTGCACCACTGCTACAACGTTTTCAGTTTTGTTATACATTAAGTTTTGTTATACATTAGCAGAATAAAAATTAAAGTTACTATTAGTTACTATTTACTTATTTACTATTTATTGTATATATAACAATCAGAATACATGTCAGTAAAATCTTTATTATATGCCATTAGAATTTCAATAGTTATGCCATGCTATTTTGAACTTACCTTTCCTTTCACACTCTGTATAGGATCCACTACAACAGCAACAGCCCTCTCAGAAAGAGCTTCAAAACTCTGTTGTGTATTTATATCAACTCCTGATAACCAACATCCAAAACCTGGATGTGAGTGGTACCAACCAACTACCATCTCTGGTCTATTATTAAAGTAGTGATAAATAAAAGACAGTTAAAATAAAAAAAATAATGTTTTTAACACAAAAATTAATAAATAACTAAACATGAAAGAATTACTAAGAGCATAATAGTTTTGTTAATTTGCATGTATGTGCATATATGTGTGTATATATATATATATATATATATATATATATATATATATATATATATATATATATATATATATATATATATATATATATATATATATATATATATAGGGCTCAAAATAAAGAACTTTTTTCACAATTAAGTTTGCTGGACATGTTGGATAAAAATTAAAGAAGTGCGATGAAACACATTCCTGAACACGCTTAAAATATTTTGTTATTTTGTTTTTACAACTTGATTACGCTATTTGTTTTGACAACTTTAGGTGTTTCAAAATGTGCAGAAAATAAATAGAAAATTTGTAAGATAAATTATCTATGTTTTTAGAACACAGTGTATATCAAGCTTTTAGCAATTTTTTTCTTTTCTTGATAAACTATAAGTTTTATTTGAGAATCTCACTTCTTTTATTTTATTCAAAAATTTTTTTCAGTTAAAAACCTAAAAAAATAACTTAAAAAAATGAAATAATCAAAAAGAATTAAAAATATATTATTTTATAATGCTTATTTTTTCATTTTGCCTATAAGTTAAATTTGGGATCCCCAGAAGATCCCCAGTTTCATTATCATTAAATTAATCTTAACAAGCTCTAAGTTTTATTTAACTAAATTTTATTCTTTGGCTAAAAGCTAAAAGCCCTGGCGACTATAAACAACATTTAAAAGTAATTAAAACTAATTTTGATAAAAATTAACAAATGATTCTTAAGTGTAAACAAACCTTCCTGTTTGTCTCAACATATCTAACATCTTAGCTTGAAAAACAGGATCAACAGCTTCAACACTCACTCCCTAAAATAAACATTTAAAAAAAAATTAATATATAAATTAAGACAAAATAATGTTACATAAAGTTTTAAACTAATTTGAAATAACTATTAAATAAATATTAACTTACAGTTCCTGATTGGGGCATTGCAAAAACATCTATGACACGAACTGTGTAATCATCAACAAATTCACCTAGCATAAGCCCCATGACCTCCATTGGTACACCAGCTCGTCCTAATATGTTTAGCAGTTTTAATTATTTACTTTTGAAGTTAATTATTGGTAGTAAATTATTAGGGGGGAATATTAAAATTACTTAGTTAAACTTTAAATGTTCATATTTCTAAAGTTATGCAACTTTAAAAATAGGTTTTAGAGGTACACCAGCTTGTCCTTATGTTTAGCAGTTTTACAGCTAATTATTTACTTTTGAAATTTATTATGGGTAATAAATTAAGGGGTGTATTTACATTGCTTAGCAAATTAAGGGGTGTATCTAAATTGCTTAATGATTTAAGGGGTATATCTACACTGCTTAATAAGGGGAGTATCTACATTGCTTAGTTAAGCTTAAGATGCTTCAAAAGTATTGCTAAATAAATGCTGTGGGCAAATAGCCCAAACTTTTTTTTGTTAATGCTTTTAATACTATTTTCTTTTTTATACTTAGTAAGTGGATGTTAAATTGATGTGGTTAGTGACTAATTAGCATAAATTTAACAGCCATAACTCATTTTGAATTATGGCTGTTACGGGAGTCATAGCATTTTGCAAGCCAATTATTAAACTATGATCAATACCAAACTGGTATTTAATGATAATATAATATAAATTAAGGCCGTTGATACAGGTTGATCCGTTGGTTTAAAATTTTTTTTAATTTTTTTTTTACTCAAAATTAACAATGTTTTCTTTGTTTAAAATATTTATATAAAATGCAAACAAAATATTTTTTTAATTTTATTTAAATATTAACATAATAGTATTTAATTATAACTTATAAATCTTTAAATTTAATGTTGATACTTTAGTAACTATTGAAATTACACATAGAATTCATAATAAATCACCTAATGTCAAATAAAGAAAATTTAAGTTCAAAAGATCTAAGATAAATAGACTTTGTATGTGCATGTTGCTTTTCAAAAAACATCAAGTGTATACCATTAACGGAAAATATGAAAAAGCTTGTTGTTAAGCATTTTCACTATTACTTTTTTTGATGAAAAGTATTTAAGGCAATATTTAAATAACAAATATGATACTTTATTGCAAAGTTATTAATATGTTGAGAAATTCTTGCCACTTTTTAAATTGCAAAATTTCCAAATTTTTTTGTATGGTTTTGCTACACTTAGACCCACTGTGCTTAGGGAAGGTTATTCCAAGATTTTATATTTTGATATTTTATGGACTTATGTCCATAAGTAGCAGAACAGTTTTTTAAGGTTTTTAGATTTAAATTATAAATGGATCAAAGAAAGTAATGGTTATTTGGACTTTTAGAGAAGAGGTTGTTGACGGTAAGAGTTAGTTTATTGTGTTGTCCCAGAAAATCTGGCATATTAAGAGTTAAACAAAATCACAAAGTTTAATAATCTTAGAAGTAAGATAAAGCACATTAGGACCAATTCTGAAAATGCATTTTTTTTAATGCCTTGTTTTGAAAATGAGACACCCTTTTAACATCTTGCTATTGGGATTGTCCTCATATTTGATAAGCATTTTTTAAATGAAAGCCAAAAATGGCATGATATATTTTCATGTTTGACATAATGGCAAACTTTAGCCAGCACTTTATTTGATCTATTTATTTTCAAGTCTTTATAATTAGATACAAAAAAAATGAGTTTATAGGATTTATTTTGGGCCAATTTAATCTAATTTTTTTTTCGATTTATTGGATTTAAATATATCAAGTTCAGTTTTGCTATACTTGGGAGAAAGCTTATTTGAACAAAGCCACTGAACTAGATTTGCGAGATCATAGTTAATGTGTATGTTAATTTTTTTATGATTTGTTGATAATGAGCAAATCAGTATCATCAGCAAACTGATGATACTATTGAGGGACAACAAATTTTTTATTTTTATTTTATTCAAACAGACTTTGAGTTATTAATAATACCAAACTGTGATTTGTTGTGACCAGTGCTGGGAGTAATTGAAATACTAAGTATTTAAAATACTATTTTAAATACTTTCTTTGTATTTGTATTTTAAATATTTTTGTTGAAAGTATTTAGTATTTGTACTTAAAATACTTTTGATTAGTATTTTGTATTTTGTACTAATTGAAAATACCTGTAATTTAAATACTGCTTAAAACATTCACAATACCGCACACAAACAACTAAACTAACTGTTATGTCATAGTGTCAATCTGCCACTATTTATTTTGAAATATTTCTTATTTTATTTATATACCATGGTTTATCTACCTTGGTTTCATTAGGGTAATTATAAAATTATTTTGCAGTAACCAACAATTTTAATTTAAAGATGGCTGCTGTGATCCGGGAAAACGAAATGATGACAATAAATAAACAAGCTATATGCAGAGAAATATTTGAAAACCCCATAGTAGCTGCCTGTGAACCGTTGACAGCGATTAATCTCAATTTGAACTGAAAATTTTGTGTACATAAAGATGACACTCAACAAGAATGCATGTTGTACCTGAATGATAAAGATACAAGTTTGAATACACTGAATAAGTATAAGACTATTCTGTCACTGTATGTCAAATTCAATACCACTGTACCACCGTCGGCTCCAGTTAAATGACTAGTTAGCAATGCGGGACAAGTACAAACACCTAGGCATAATTGTCTAAGTGGTATAATATTTGAACGACTGCTAACAACTAACGACTAAAAAAAATGTGAATGACTGAATGAATGATATTTAAATATAAATGTAGTATAAATGACTAAAAACTACTTTCGAGTAATTAGAGTGTGTAAAAATAAATTTTGAAAATGGCTCATTTTTTAGTTTCTCAAGATTTAAAAGTAGTAAAGTATTTTGTATTTAGTATTAAAAATACTTTTTTTAAAGTATTTTTAGTTTAAATACTTATGAAGTATTTTTATTTAAAATACTTTTTTGTTCCAGTATTTGTATTTGTATTTTAAGTACTTTCATAAAGTATTTTACCCAGCACTGCTTGTGACAATAAAAAGTAAACAATTTGAAAGCCATTCTTCTGATTCTATAATATTCAAACTTTTTGAGATCGACAAAAACACCGCATGCAAAGTTTTTATTATCAAGAGCTAATTTAATCATTGATTTTAAAAAGTGAGTGGATTGTGGAGTGATTACTCAAAACTTATATTGGTATTAGTAAATTTGTAAAAATTTATCCAAAAATGTTATATACTATTAAGTTAATATTTATATAAATAAAGAGTTAAATAAATGAATAAAGAGTTTCTTATGCATAGGTTTTTCATAAAGTTTGTTTAGGTTAGAAAGAAGGGAGATAATACTGAGAGGCTTAGAAATATTGTCTGGAATAAGTTTAAGAAGTAATCTAGGAATGCTATTAAGACCAAAGAATTTTCCAAATTTAAAAGTAGTTTTAATGAGATTAGAGATTTCATTCTTTGGAACAAGATCTTTAAAAGTTAGCATTTTTGAAAGTTAAGATAAATTCAGTAAATTTGAATGTTTGCTTATTTTGTTTTATAGTTTGTTTTAAAAAAAAGTTAATAAATACAATTGATCAGTAGTCAGATCTGTGACATTTTCTTTCAAGTTTGAGAGTTAAACTAGAATGTTAAAACTAGAATATGTGATGATATTTTCTTTCAAGTTTGAGAGTTGAACTAGAATGTTAAAACTAGAATATGTGATGATATTTTCTTTCAAGTTTGAGAGTTAAACTAGAATGTTAAAACTAGAATATGTGATGATATTTTCTTTCAAGTTGGAGAGTTAAACTAGAATGTTAAAACTAGAATCTGTGATGATATTTTCTTTCAAGTTTGAGAGTTGAACTATAAAAGGAAGGTTTAATATTTTTTATCCCTTTCCAAGTATTCTTGATATTGTTTAGGTCTTTTTTTATTAAGGTTATGTACACAGATTTTTTTCTAGGTTATAATAGATTGCTGATTCTATTTCTATAAAATTTAAATTTTGAAAACAGTTTAGTTTTAATATTTATATTGTATTAATATAAGTAAATATAAGTATGCCACTTGTGGTTTTTACTTTGCTACTTGGTTAGTTTTTTTGCATGGAGCATGCCAGTCTAAGGTTTCTTATGTTTTTAAAAGAAAACTGATATTTTGATTTACATCATCATTTTTTTAATAAAGAGATTCCAGGATATGTTAGAAGCATCTTCAACAATTATTTTAAAGTTCTTGAATCATTGTTCAGAAGATATAGTTTTTTTTGGAGTGATTTGTTTTCCTGGGAAAGTAGATAAATTGTGCCATATGGTCTTGATATTGATATAATGGCCAGAAATTTTGTCAGGTGAATGGTAGTTCATAATATCTTAACAAAATATCTTCAAAAAATTTAAAACTTTTAATTGACTTCTTCATAAAAACTATTTGTTTCAATATCCAAAACTACTTTTAAAATGCAGTTTTGGACGTTGGAACAAATAGCTTTAATTTTACCAACCTTTCAATCATGGGATCCAAAGAGTTCCACAAAGTTGTAGTGTTAAGTTTTAGCATCAATTTTTTATTTTCTTGTTTGAAAACATGCTTTTTCAATATGGAGTAGCGATATTTGAACAGTATTTGAAAAATTTAATCAGTTTATAAAAATTATTCAATAAATGTATGTGACTTATGCATAAAACTATGCATAAGGAACTCTTTATTTATTTATTTAACTCTTTATTTATATAAATAATAACTTAATAGTATATAACATTTTTGGATAAATTTTTACAAATTTACTAATACCAATGTAAGTTTTGAGTAATCACCCCACAATCCACTCACTTATTATTGTAGACAATATTGGTTACAGCCAGATGAATACCATGATTGTGGCACAGTTGACTCTTTACTAGAATTATTCTCTCATATTTTTGCATTACTGTAGCACCATCGTGCGTCGATGCAATAGTGTATGTTAAATCTAATCCAAAGTCTATCAATTTTTATTCTACTAATTCTTCAGTTGTGAAAACATCACAGGAACCATCAATTTTAACAAAAACTAATTTATAAGCATTTTTATTGTGAAAAGTTACATTTATA